TATTGGTAATTGTAACATTTACATTATCTTTATTTTTCATTAATTTCATATCAAATTTGAGCCTTCAAACGTTCTGATAATATTTAGTTGTATAAATAAAAAACTCAACAATATGAAACGTAAAAAAAATGCCGGTTACTGGAGAACCCTTATTCTATTTCCCTTACATTCATGTTACTGTAGTTAGAAAACGCTTAAATTTATATATTTATATATTATATATATTATTATATTATTATTATATTATTATATTATTATATATTACTATATATATATTATATTTATATACTTTATATATTTATTTACATACAACATTATTCAATTTTCGTCATCTTCAAGTATATTCCGCCCTTATGCGACAAGAGCCATGCGTTGGGATCGAATTCACATGGAAGCTTAGTTTTTTCGCAAATGTCCACTTTGTAGCGTAGAAGTATTCTGAGAAGACCTAGTTTTGTTTGGAAAATGGCGAAACGGTTACCTGTGAAGACGATATACATATAAGTAGTAGAGATAGATATGAAGTAATTTCTTTTCATTATACATCTTCGGGATATTGACACAATTTTAGATTTTTGATTCTTTAGCAAATGCCAGTTGATAAATTTTTAACGAATAAAAATATTTGATCGAATACTGAACGTAAACTTATTGTACAAGAAAATGTTAGGATTATTGATTTGCAACGAAAATTGTTATCCCGATATTACTTGCACATATCTGCACACTCAGCATTTGTTTTATATTTAACCAGATATTAACATTTTACAGGCCGCGCGGTTTTATGAAAATCCTTTATAGGGAGCCGGCATTTTTTCTTGGATTAGACTACTTTTTAACAAATAAATAAAATTGTAATTAAATTATAGTTTGTAAATCGGCAATCAATTGTCAGGTAAACTTCACGAATATTTAAATTTAAATGCTGGAAGTATTCGTAACTTTAAATAAAAATATATGTATCTGACGGAAAATTAAAGAAATCAAGGTAAATTGTGATTTCGCACTTCAGGAATCCATCATTTCTCGATTTTGACTAACTTTTGGGATCCCCCCCCCCCTCCCCTATACACTCAACAATATTTATTGCACACATCAGTGAGGATTTAGTTGGATTTACTGTACCTAAGTAACTGTACCATTGTTGCAAAAGTAATTTCGATTCTTTTTGTAAGCTACCTATTTGGAAAGCTGTAATTACTTTTGCAACAACCTAATACAAAAATTTTCTGTTCGCTTTTCATTTCAATGACTGAAACGAATGTTTTTTTCTAACTTATATTAATATGGTTGCAATAGGCATGTACATACCAATGCAATTCCTTGGTCCGTCACCAAAAGATAAATGGTACATTGGATGTCGGGTTGCTATAGCTTCTTTGGTGAATCTTTCGGGATCGAATTTCAGGGGATCTGGATAAATGGCAGGATCCCTTTGTATCGCAAACATTGGAATCCATATTTCTGTTGATTTCGGTATTGATAGATTCAACGTCTCGAAAGTGTAATCAGTAGTTGCTGTTCGTAATAACAACGCCGCTGGTGGATATTTCCTCAATGTTTCTGGAGAAACAATACACATTTATTATTTAATTCCTCATCGTAAAATATTATACCGCAATTAAAAGGCTAAATTGTAAAAGTAAGCTTAAGACGCAAGTTATACTTCTTATTAGTCTCCTCTCTTAGAACAATTTTATTTTCGCACGAATATGCAACTAATCTGTCAAGTTTCCACCGGGAGATAATACAATAGAAAATTTTCTATACGCGGTACACGGCGAATCTAATGAGGTATACGTAACACGTTTATATTTACCTCTGAACACTTTATCCAAGTATTCCATCTCTTTCATAGTGGTATAGTCGATTTCACCGTTGTATTTTTTCATATACTCCTTTATTTCTTGATGCAACTTCTCTTGTATTTCGTGATTCTGCGCTAGCTCAAGAAGAGCCCAGCTCATAGCTGACGAAGATGTCTCGAAACCAGCCGAGAAGAACGAATACGCTTGTGCAATGAGCAATTGGTCTGTCATTTCTAATGACGGTAATTAAATATTAGCGGTCGGACATAAAGTAAAATTGATTACGATTGTATGTTTGCGATTAATTGCGACGAGAAATGAGAGAAAGTGTATTACAGGGAGAAAGTGTACTTCTAGGCGGAGGCGTTTCGTAGATCTGAACGTCAACTTTGTTCCTCTAAATAGAACACTAGCAAAAAAAGTATTGAACACCAATAGTCCTAAACTTAATAACTAACAAGTAATTTCACTTTATTTCTTGAAAATTTTCTTCACGTAACATCAAGTGAAATTGTTCGTTAGTTATTAGGTTTAGGGCTACTGCTTTTTCACTCAGAATTCGTCATTCTTCCATATTTTGGTATAACAAATGTATTATTCTACTTAAACAAACAAAGTTTATCTTCAAATCTCCTAAACCGCCCCACCTAGAAAAAACTAAATACACTATCTAATGCACTCTTGTGTACACAACTTTTGTACATGCAACTCTTGTATATAAAACTTTTTCGTGCAACGCATACTTTGGAAGTTGCAGAGGTGTGCTAGTTACACGATACGCCCTCTATAATTGAAATATTTTGACAAGTACAATGTAGGTGGAGAAACTATGTAATTTGTATGAAACTTTGGACGTCGCCCTAATCGACAGAGTAATTGATACACTTACTTATCGTAAACTTATGAACTCAGGTATCCTGCACAACTTACCGCGGGAGTCCGTCCTTTCCGGGTTGTCCCAAAGTTCCATGAGCAGGTGAATGAAATCAGGTCTGTAGACGTTGTTCTGCCTCCTGTAGTTCATCGTTTCCGTGACAATCTTTGTGAAGAAGGGGGCCAACCTCTTGTCAGGGAACACGAAACCAAGCAAATCGTAGAACCCGGGCAGAAACAGTCTCAGCTTCAATCGTATCGCGTTCTCAATATTTCCTTCGAAGATCAGCTTGCCTTTCTCACGAAACTCGCTGTCCTCTTGGCCCATGGTGTTCATGTTAATCCCGAACGCGCAACTGCCGATCACGTCGGTCGTGTACTTCGCAGTCGCCTCGAGAACTTCGACTACTTCATTTTCCATGACCACATGGTCCAAATATTTATCGAAGTTCTCCGAACATTCCACCATCAGACCGAACATGCCTTTCAATTTTCCTGACGTGAACATTGGAGTTAGCTTCGGTCTCAACAACCGCCATCTTACCGAATCTAGTTGAAATAAGTTTAAGGACAGGGGTTCCGTCTGTAAACATTTCACGAAAGAATCTTGTCATTTTCTTATTTCTAATTTTGCGCTACTAACTTGTTAACGTGCATACGAATGTTGAACACTGTGTCAAATATGACACAGTCTGACACTTTTCGACCAAGCTTTTACCAAATGTTTCTCTTCGTCTTTAAAAGCATGGCAATTTGCCAGTCTCATTTACTCTTTTTCCCTTTCATTCATATTATATTTACCCTTGCATGAGGTTTTTGCGGACGGTCTGCGAAGTTGGCGAAATCTTTTATCAGGATTGTCCTTATAAGTTCTGGATCATGCAGAACGAGGACAGGTGATCTGCCGTTGTACAGGCCAACTGCTGGTGCATTTCTGTACTTTCTGTAAAGATCCTCGACCACATGCGCTACGCATACTTTTGCAAAGATTAAATCCTTATGGGTGCCGAAAAACAGATGGGGTTCTGGTCCAGGTATGCCGCGTTTTCTCCAGAAATCGAAATTCCAGACTAGGTAATAGTAGAAGGCGACAGCTAGTACGACCAGGCCGCATAAGAGTTCCACGTAGGACGCCATTGCTTTGCTGTTTCACCGTTGCTAATCAAATTTCCAGTCTTGCGAGTTCCTAAAAAATGACCGAATAAAACAAGGCACTTCAATTTTCTGAAATATTAATTTCACATCAAATGAAATATTGTAGAAGTACCTATTAAGAAACACCGAATCATTGTGACCCCGCTCCCGATATACATATATGGATAACATAGCCAATTATCCGCTGTTAGATACACTCAGTAATTTATAGCGCATAATCTTAACCGATTCGACATGGAATCGTTGAAACATAAGAAATGTTTATTTGAACGCCAAAAATAGCGACGCGTGAGCGCAACACCTTGTACCGCGCTTCAGCGAGAAGAAAGCACAGCGTGTTTACATCACCACTTCTTCTGCAGCCTGCTATCCTCCCATGATCACAGCAAGTATCGGCAGGCAGATCGCTATTAGCCGAAGACGGTGATGAAGATCAACGGTGAGTCGTAGCGTTGACAAGAGGGACAGCGGACTGCAGCATAAGTGGAGATGTAAACATGCTGTGGCTTCTTCTCGCAGAAACACGGTACAAGATGTCGTCCTAACTGTTTGCGACGTTTTGAATACAAAAGCGGGCAAATTCGGACGATATACAGATTACGTTCTTGCGGGGCTCTAGGTCGAACACCCGCAGATGTTGGAAAGCATAATAACAGTGCTATTGATAGAAGAATTCATCTGTAAAATGGACACTATCGAAACAAACAAAAATTGGTCCACTTTTTAAAACAAAACGAAATAGCATTTTGTGCACACTAGCTACGTCAGCAAAGATCTTTCAGAGTAGTAATAAAAAGTATACACAGCTTTCAACAATGTGTATAAAAGTGGAATTGAAAAGAAAAAGGATTTATAATTTGAAAAATGTCTCTAACATCCGCAACTAGGAAACTAAAAAAACCACTTCTATTATTTTTCGTGGTTCAAGAACCAGGTATAAATAGAAAGTATAATAATAAAGAAATAGAACCAGTATAAAAGAAAAAAAAATAAAGAAATATGCTAATTGAAGCATCTCCTTAACACTATAATGGAAGTGGAATCTTCTCGTAAAATAGTCATATTTTACGAGATTTTACCTCAGTATCATTGCTGTCCAAAACTACGGACATACCGAGGGGCGTTGTACTAAAAATAAGCCGTAGTATTGTGTAAAATGTGCAGAAAATTAAATTTTTCTATACGCAGTGAGAGTACGAATACTTATGGGAGTAACTTCGTAATAATTCATTTATGTACAATGGCAGACCAAAGTATTCGTACACCTTTTAAAACTGTATTAAATGACTTCACATTTTTTACATGCCAGAGGCTCAGATAAACAAGTTAAAAAACTTGTTTATTGTATAAAGATTTTTTAAAAAGTATTTATTTATTATTTATTAAAAGTATTTTAGTCATCGTACAGTAAACTAGTCCCTTTAACATTAAAAAAATAAATACAAGTCATTTAGTCTAGTTTAAAGAAGTTATTGCGTTCTAAAATGTGTACGAATACACTTTAGTCCGTCACTCAATGTTGAATATAGATCCAAGAGAGAATATTTTTCGATACCTATTGAATATCGGTACACCGAATGATCTTGATTACAGGGTCGTTTTGGTAACGAGATTATAACAGAAAAAACGTAGAATCGGTTTAGGGACATCGCCAGGAGTGGACGTGACACAAAGCAGTTCACCTTTCATAATAAAGTTTCCTGAATACAAGTTTGCTTCACAACACAGTCTAATTTATTAATTTGTGCAGTCGTTCATGAAACACTGTTGCCAGATAAAATACTAGGTAATAAATTTTTATTTCACAATTTTGTCCTGCGTATCGATTTCAATGACCTTGGAGTGTGTCATGCAGCTCGTAATTTTAACCAGCCTTCTTGTGTCTATATTAATGCCGTTCGAATTTGCAAAGATAAATAACGCTTGACCTCCATGAAGCAAAACCGCTAAAGATTAACACTACCGAATCAATATTTTGTGAGACATTTCACTTTCTTTTTTATTACTTGTTTACATACCTTAGAAAAAATGTTCGACCGTTCTGTCTCTTGATCATTCAGTCTCAAATCTCTGATAACTGAATGTAATAAATTCTCCCCAATTGTCCCTCAGTTTGTAAAGACAAATGGACAATTTGGGAAGAGGAGATATGATTACTCGAGCTTCGCGGCTCATTTTTATAGTTGTTGACAACTGGTGATTAAAGTTCAGAAATAGAACTATCGAACATTTTTTGTAAGGTAAGTAAACAATTAATAAGAAAATGTGAAATGTCTCACAAAATATTGATTTTGTTGGCATAGTACTCTAATACATTTTTACGAATAACCCCATGGAATCAATACGAATAAACAAAAATATGTGATTTCGTTAGAAAAAGATTATTAATGAAAAACACTGACCAATGAGACAACGGAACTGGACTTCGTCCGCTCGTTGGTCAGTGCTTTTTGTTAATAACTTGTAAACAAAGCTGCGGATTGCATTTGCGCTAAAGGAAAAGTTTATTCAAATAACCTCAAGAATCCCTCATTTCTTAATTTTGTGTAACCTTCGGACACCCTGTATTTATCGAATAAGACCTATGACATTTTTTTGTACTTTTTTGCTTCATTTATTTTTTAATTAAAAAATGGAATATGCCTTATTCTTAGGGCCATGTCTTTGTCATAACGTATGAAGATCAAAGTCATCGCGAAGTATCCTCTGGAGTAAATGATGGAATAGTGGTGCCAGTTACTGTGAGGTAGCCAATTATGATGTTTAAAGTTTGTTTTCAAATATAATTAGCTTTATATTTATTAAGTGAAGCATATTAAAATTTTTTTACTTTAATTCAATGAATTGTTCATTTCTTGAAATTAAACATGTGACAGACAGAAGTTCTTAAAGTACCACAAAAATTATTACAGCTTTGAAAAAACTTAAGAAAATACTGAACGAATTAAAATCAATGCAGTAAATTCTCTCCAATTGTCCTTCAGGTTGTGAATAAAAATGGACAATTTAGGAAATGGAGATTGACTAATGGTACAAATAGTATAATACTAAAATAATTCCACCGATTAAACGATATATATATAATAAAAGCTTATAATACCTTCAAATGTCCACTTGGTATTTTGTTATGGTAATATCTATGGTAACAGAGTAATTTCCTTCCGTTGAGGTTGCGCGACAACTAAACGTAGACAGCGGAACTCGATTTATATATCCATAGATTCATGATTATTATTCACTATGACTTGCACTTACAGGCTCATTCAAATTATACGAGTGTTTGATACAAAATTTTTAAAATTGTAATTCTACATTATATAATATATCGATATCATCTTAATTTGGCACCTGCTATTTTTTGCTTTCGGCATTTTCAACATTTGGTATTATGGTAGATGAGAAAAGTATTTAGATGCTAACATATCTCTGCCGCCCACAATGAAAGGAGAAGGTAAGAGGAAGGATAATCGTCAGCATTTAAAATATTAAATTCAGCATTTTTATAGAAAGATATTATTTGTTCTTTTTTTGCGTCGTAACAAGATGTCAATCTCCACCAAATAATTAGTCCTGTTGAAGCGTACTATAATATATAAGAAAAATTAATATTTTCTGTTCAATTCGTAATAATCAGTTGTTAAAACCCTAGGCTATAGCCTATTTAGTCTATACCTAAATGAGGGGTTCCTGAGGTCACTTGAAGTAATTTTTTCCTTAGCGAAAATGTAATCCGTGACTTTGTTTACGAGTTATTAACACACAAAAAGCAGTGATCAATGAGAGGCGAGTTCGGCAGCTGCAAGGTGGTCGAACAAGCGAAGGGAATTGGGCTTCGACCGCGGGGCGCGACGGCCTCGGGCTGCGTTCGAAGCAATGAACAAGTCATCGAAGCATTGCTATACGTAATTATCGTTGTTATTTAGTTCGTAAGTTGTATATATCGAGTGTTAGTGTGTGTATGACCCGTGTGAAATATAAGTTATTGTTCCCTTAATTAAGCTTTTCTTCGCAACAAACAGCTTCCATATTAGAGATGTTCGAGGACTCGTAAAACACGAATCTGGTACTGCTCGGTTCGAATAATCGATTCGAGTCGAGACTGGAAATTTTGTCGAATAAATTATTCGACTAATCTTTGAAAACGAAGTATTAATAAAATATATTTGATGGAAGAAAATAACCAAAGCTACGGAAAATATAACAAAATTTTCTCGCTTCTATAAGATATTGTAATTTCATTTGTTAAGCCCATTTTCAGTAAGACCACAGTTCTATGCATTTTATTCGAATTTTTTATTCGAGATGTTATTCGAATAAAATTTTATTTTATTAGAGATGTATCATTAGAGATTTATTAGTATCATTAGTATCATTAGATACTAACTCATTCATTTATTAGTATCATTAGAGAGTTATTATAGAGTATTATTAGAGATTTATCGAAGAATTTATTAGAGATGTTATTCGAATAATGCCCAACTCTGCCTCTGTACAGTATTCAGTACTCGCAGTAGAAATGAAATATATAGGATATTCGCTTCCTGCTAACATGTCTAAATTCGTGAACTATCGGTAACGCTGAGCGCGGCACCGAAATGGTAAGGGGCCTCTAGCTGGGGAGATAAGTCCATAAGATGCAATATCTGTATGCATCCTAAATCTGTGATAATCCATTGGATGTGCAGTTCTACTTCTATACCTTGTTTGAGATATGGTCTCAAATTTAGCCACCTTAGACACACACTTTTCTCTGCTGCAGTCAGATGTAGCTTACTAACTGACCGTTTCATTTAGGTAGAGTTCGCATTACAACTCATTAACTTTTCTTTAAAAAAGTCGCGTGTATTCTAAGGATCCCTACATCTTTTGCGATCACTATTACCGATAGTACATAAAATTTAGGCGTGTTAGCAAGATGCGAATATTAGTATAGTTCATTTCTACTGCGAACAGTGACAAGTAGACTGCGGATTTTTATGCAAAATAATTATTTTCAAAGACAATTGTAAGAAATGGTAATAGAATAAAAATAATTTGCTGCTTTTAATCATTTTGGTTAGACCGATGTGAATGTCATCCTGTGTTCTTTGTTATCTGTTGATATTTGTATTTTCGGTTTATGTATAATTTATATCATTTTATATCAGTTAATTTCCTCAAATGGGGGGTTGTGTGTGTATTCAAAGTACAACTCGTATTAATTTCTGTCACTTCTAATTGTAAAATTGTAATATAAATTGTAAATATTGTAAAATTATTTTTATAGCTCCACCAGATACTCATTTTTGCTATATGATTGAATAAAATGCAAAGTCTAGTGATGGGATTCGAAACACTTCGAATCTTCATAAAGTAGTTTTTCCCCCATCACAAAGCTTCAATAATCTCGACCCTCTGCATAATACTTTTAATGAATTATACGAAGCAACGTATATTTATATAAAAAGAGATAAAGACCAATTTATAAAAATGGGAGGTTCACGTAAATCTCGTGCAAGAGTTTACCTAATTTAAAAATCGTCGCACAAGTAAGCCAATATGAACATTTACCATAAATTAAGTTGCTTAAATTTAAATTGTACTGTTTATATTTAAATTAAGTTCACTTCGAATTGTGGAAGATAATAAGTACACGATAAATACCGGAAACAAATCTACGGCATGAAGTACTTATGATACCCTAACAGAATAAAAGTCTTGTAGTTTCATTAACTCTCTCGACGTCGAAACTATACAGTGACTTCCATTAATAATTGGACAAATTTTAAAAAACTCAGTAACTTTTTTAGAACTGGATTAAACGACTTGAATTTTTTTTAGTTGATAGACGCACAACTATAGATAGAGGCATAACTAAAATGATTTTTCTTAAATTTTGCTATTGCTCAGAATGACAAAAGAAAACAAAAAACTCTCATTTTTAACTTTTTTTATCTGAGTCTATAACGGAAATTTACGTTTTATAGAACTTGGTAACTTATATGTTGAAAATTTCAGTTCCTCTATCATCTAAGAAAAAAAAAATTAAAATCTTTTAGTCCAATTTTCAAAAAGTTATTGCTTTTTAAAATGTGTCCGAATATTAATAGGAGTAACTGTGGATACGAAACGTATAGAAAATGTAAGAATACGGTATACAAATTTCATAGGTCTCAGTACGGAAATATCCTTGCAGTATGTTTGAACAGAAGGTGAATGGAAGATTCGATTGGTGGATGTAGAGAAGATCAAATGCAAACTTGGAAAGGCTAAGCAATCATTACGAGTGGTAGTAGCTGACGGTCTCATTAGGAAATCGAGAAAACGTGTTTGTAGAAGGGCTGTGCTTCAATCAGACGACAACGTTGCAGGGGTGATGGCCGCACGAACCGACAGGGGGAGGCCCGTTGGGTATCAACACGGAAAAAGGGAAAGGGGGCACGCCGTTGGTTTCAAATCAAAGACCAGACGAACCGGTCTATCCCTCTGCGAGATGCTTCTAATTTTTTTTCTGTCTCTTTGCCTCCGCTCGGACTCTTACCTTTCATCCCCGCCCCTTTTTCATTCTGTCGAGATATTTGCAGGTGTCTAACGCGAGAAATAGCCAGAAACATTACCCATAAGCTTTATCATTTTGAACTACAGTCCGAGACAAAATAATAGCTCAACAATGTTGTCCATATTTTGAAATAAAGTAAATTTCAGAATTGTTGCAACAGATTATACAAGAAAGCGACGATTCGTGGGTTCGTAAAAGTGTTTTTAATTCTTTTACGTTTACAATATGTAATCATGTACTGCATTTATCGTGGTACACCCTGTATATATTGGAGGAAATAAAAGAGGAAAATTAAAATATTCAACGCTTCGCACTCGAGTGATAAATCTGAGGTGCCGTTAAACATTATTGTATCGCGTTCCAAAATAATTTCCACATTATCACATTTGTTTATATCTTTTTTAAAACTGTTGTATAAGTCGCGAGACTCAATTTCACATGGATAAAATGCAATAAGCCATAGAAAATAGAAGTACCGTGGGTTACAAAAACTGTTTTGAACTGAAAGTTGAAATAGCTTCGAGGGGAAATCGTTAATAACAAAAGAAATTTAATTTGAATGGCTCCAATGATTGGCATTACAACTTTCATGATTTACGAAAAGGAAAAGTTATTTTTAGTCACAGACGAATGTTACGGGAGAAAGTAACGGCGTGTGAAAATGGCAGCAAAGAAAATTAAACATTCGGTTGATATTCAACTTTGATAGTATGCGAACGCAACTTTCAGAAGTAATAGGTGCAAGATATACAGTCGGTCACGAAAATATTCTGACGGTTTTTTAAACGGAATAACTTTTCTAAAATTGTCGTATTTATTAACAGGTCGTTGAATTCGTCTTGACACAAGTTGCAACAATAGAAATCTATAGCTGACCAAAAACTGATTAACTTTTGTTGGGAACATTTTCTTTGTCAGACTGTCGGAAGTGCTCGAAAAATCGTGGCGACAGTTACATGGAACACCCTGTATACAATTTATTGGTTATTCAAGTGATTGTTATTATGTTAGTTGCAAAACAGATTGGCGTTTATTACTTCTTCGTATATTAATCATGTACAATTAAATACACAGTTTGTTTCCTTTCATTGAATATTGCCTTTATGAGATAACTCTGTAATTGAATATAACATCATAAATTTATCATTGTAAAATTGAAATTGAAAGCATTTGATTTAATTACACGGTTAGGAGCATTAAAATACTAGTTTGTTAATAATAATATTAATTACAGTTTAGGCAGATTTGAATTATCATGTAAGTAATATAAAGACGATTACAATTTAGACTTTAAGAAGGATTTAAAAAGAAAACGATAGAATATATTAAACATCGGATTTGTTCCGTATGAAAGCTTACAGTATTGCGAAAAGGATCGTACAAATTGTAGCTGCGATTACCTGCGTTTTCTAATTTTCTATGGATTTCAACAAACCGCGACGCGATATTTTCAACGTCGCGCGCGTCTGTTCGACCGGTAACCGTAGCCATATGAGTTACATACTTCTTTGAAAGACGACGAGCAAAGAAACGTGTTCCTTATCTACCGTTTGTAATTTCAATANAATATGTAATCATGTACTGCATTTATCGTGGTACACCCTGTATATATTGGAGGAAATAAAAGAGGAAAATTAA